CATCATTTTCATTTTCAACTTTTTATTGTTAGTGTCCATTTCACACTTTGGAATTAAGATTAAGAAAGACAAAGCATTAACTTGATGTGGTGGTGTGCGCCTGTAGTCCCAGCTACTTGGGAGGCTGAGGCAGGAGGATCTCTTGAGCCCAGGACAGTGAGCTATGATCATGACACCACTGCACTCCAGCCTGAGAGATAGAGTGAGACCCTGCCTCAAAACAAAACAAAACAAAACAAAACAAAACAAAACAAAAAACAACCCAAAGAAACACAAGGCAAAAATTAAATATCAATTTGAGGTTTGCCATTAACTAATCTCAGTTTTGCTTCTTCATTTCTGATGCACTACGACATAACATTATGTAGTGGAGTGTTTCCTATTCTTTTCATCTCTCAAGATGGCTTGTAGCTTGTATGATTTTTCTACTTCTGGAGTCATCTTTTGAGATTTTGCCCCCACAGAATCACTTTCTAGGCAATTTACACTATGAGCAAATGTAACCTCAACATTTGAACTCCTTTAGGCTTTTTGATATATCAAAACTATCTTTGTGATATGCCCTAAGGTAGGGCCTATGTTATCTACCGAATAGATGTTTGTTTAGTACTAAACAACTACATTAACTCTATTACACGGTTTTTACATACCAGGTTCTGAACAATGCTGCACAATTTAAAATTTAACTTATAGATGAAGAAACTGGTATTCAATGAGGTTAAATCGGGGCTTTTAATCAGTAAGTACTTGGGTAAGATTTGAACTCAGGTCTCACTTGATTCCAAATTCTGTGTTCTTGCAGACAAGGTACTGGCACTGGTATATGGAAATAACTAAGACAGAGTTCCAGTCCTTGAGGAGCTGATGGTCCATTAAAAATTTGACCCCTCTCTTTCCTCACACCTCTCATCTAACCCATTAGCAAGTTCAGTGAGCTCTATCACTAAAACATACTTTGAATCAAATCATTTCTAATAATTGCCACTGCTATCCTCCTTTCAACCAGTAAATACTGGGGCAAGATCTGAACTCAGGCCTCAGAACTGAATCATTTCTCTGGACTCCTGCAGGAGCTTTCCAACTGGGCACTCTTGACCCTTTATGTGCTGTTCTCCAAATAGATGACAGAGAGCTCTCTTAACAATATAAAGCACATTGAGTTATTCCTCTGCTCAAAACCCTCCAATGGCTTCCCATCACTCTTAGAATAAAATCTCAACTCTTGACTATGACCAACCAAGACTGTACTTGACTGACTGCTGCTCACCCCTCTGATCACATTGTCAAACATTGTTTTCTCTACTCTAGCCACTCCACGCTGGCCTTTTGCTCTTTCTTGGATATGCTGGGCTCCCTTCCTGCCTTGGGCCTTTACACAAGCTATACCCTATGCATACAGCCCTCTTCCTACTGATCTGTGGATGGTTCATGCTCGTTTAGGTTTTTGTTCAGATGTGACCTCCACAGTCAGAAAGAAAGAAGATAAATAAATTAAAATGGAATATTAAAAAATATTAAAAGAATACAAAATAAGTCTGGAAAGGGGAAACAGAGGAACAGAAACAGAGGAGGCCAGCAGAAAAGAAATAATAGTAGACCTAAATCCAATCATATCAGTAGTTATAGGAAGTGGAAATGGTCAAAATACAACAATTAAAATAATGAGAATGTCAG